CTCTTACCATCGGTTGGAACGGTTGAAGCAGACGAGGGGGATGAAGTGAATGTGCTGGTTGTGTTGGATTTTTCAAGAGTGGGTGGAATTTCTGGAGGAGATGTACTAGTAGAGCTGGCTACGGGTGAAGGTGACGCTCTGAGGATATCTGTTACTTTGGCGGTGATGTCTTCAGCGATAACTGTGGAGGACGGAGTAGCGCTAGGAGTTGTGGACAAATCAGAAGTCTCTTCTGAGGAAGAGCGGCTACTGGTTCTTATGCTTGATGTTCCTCTATCAGTTTCGGTGGTGCCGGATGCTGCGCTTGTTGTCTGCTGGCCAGCTGATTCAGGAGTAATAGTCGCTCCAGAAAATTGTTTGCTGGTTCCTTCCGCTACTTCTGATGATGTACTGACTGTTTCTTGAATGCCATCTGTGCTCGGAAAGACTGTTACTTCTAACGAAGATGTGCTGGTAGTGCTGACCAAGGGTACTCCTGACGTGGTGCTACCTACTCCTGCAACGCCACCCGTGGAAGAAGAAGTGCTGACAGTGCTAGCCTCTGATAATGCAACTGATGGGGAGCTTCCTTCTTCAATCCTATTCGGACTAGAAGTTATTGTGACTTCTGAAGAAGATGGTAGTGTAGTTCTGATCTCCACTTTAGACGGAGAGCTACCTATCCTTTCAGCGCCACTTGTGGGAGACATCGTGCTGGTGACGTTGGTTCGCAATAATACGTCTGGCGAGGTGGAAGCTGTCCCCTCCACGCTGCTGGAACTTGAAGAGATGGTCACTTCTGAAGAAGGCGTGCTGCTTATTGTGCTTTGTGATGGCGTACCGGGAGTCGCGGTAACTTCAGGCATCGGACTACTTGTTCTTTTAGCTCCCACTTCAGTAGTGAGTTTTGTTTCGGGAGAGAACGCGGACGTTGTATCCGTTGCTCCTCTGGTTGTGTTAATTGTCAAGGAAGTAACGCTTTCTGTGCTAGAAGTCGCACTGACTTCTGAAGAAGAAGTACTTGTGATATCCTTTGCTTCAGGGGTTGTGCCAGTTGTTTCTTTAACGCTACCTGAACTTGGGGTAACGATACCCGCACTGGATGTGATGGTTGTTGTGCTAGAAGTACTGGTCACATTCGATAGAGACGAGCTGGTAATCAATCCTTTGGTTGTGCTAGCTTTTCCTTCAGCGGTAGCTGTTGCTGGAGTAGCGCTAGGAGATGTTGTAACATCTGAAGGTGCTATACTGGTAGTGCTAGCCCCTGGCGAAGTGCTATCTGTTTCGGTGCTGCTAAGGCTAGGAACGGTTACTTCTGGAGAAGGCTTGCCATTAATTTCTTCTGTAGTTGTTCCAGCTGTTACTTCTGGAGAAGGCTTGCCAGTAATTTCTTCTGTAGTTGTTCCAGCTATCT